CCCCAAAACCCCAAAACCCCATATATAAAGTATAAGTTTGATTCGCTGGAGTCGTAAAAACATATTCGTTAAAATATAAATCTAATTAAAATATAAATGTTGTCTGATTCATTTAGCTGTAAATCATCGAATCAAACTCACATATCCTAGAATAGTTAAACTTGGTTGAATTTAGAGACGCAATCTCTCAGAAATGAAGTATCTGAGCTTCAAAGAATGCTAGATGAGATTAATTAGAATAGTAGAATTTCTCAGGATTAGTAGTCTTCCCACAGAAGTTATTAGCATATTTTGCAATAGATAAATCCTTAAATTTAAAGTACAAAGGCCAGCAGTTCTCTAAAGCAATCCTAGTAAAGCAATCAAGAAACAGAAATTGTTAGTCAAGTATTAAAGTCAAAATCATCAATGAATGTTTAATAGAAGGAATACAAAAGAATTAATGAAGGAGGCAACGCAATATCTCTTGTCAATAGAAATAGATAATAGATTCTTGAGAGATCAAATCAAAAGGATAAGTCTAATCATAATATTCAAACTCCCAATAATAATCAACCATCATTCTTAAATAATAGTCGAAACTAAAATAATGATACTACTCTATCTCTGTAGTAATCATGTAGCAGTCTCGGGAGGATATCAAATTTGAAATAACCCACTAAAATTAGTAAAAATTCCAGTTTAAGCACAGAAAAAGGATTTACTGATTCTTTGATAGGAAAGAAAAATCTGAGGCAAATTAATTAGCATTAGTTGATAACCAAGCCAGTTTTACAGTAAAAAAAGAATTCAACATAAATATTAAGAAAAGAGTCAAAAGAGAATATTAATCATGAAACATCTCTTGATACCTCAATCTAAAATAAATACAATCGAATCATTTAGAACCTTGATAATGAAATCAATAATGATAAAATATCTTCAGTATTAAAGTAGAAACCGTAGAATAATGCATCTATTGTCTTTGATGACAGTTTGTTAAACAAAACTTTACAAAATGATACTAATGATGATATCAACCCTCATCTTTAGTAGTTAATGGAATCACCTGATGCTGATAAGAAAGATATTGAATCAGAGTTATTGAGAATGAGGGAGACTCTTGAATTTATCAGATAATAAGAGATGATGCTCTTGAATAGAATCTCATAAGATAATACTGCAACTACGTCTGCAAATGATGATAGATTGAATAAAGCAAGAGATTAGCCCTAAAAAGAAATGTAATTAGAAGAATCAATGGTCCATATTTAGGACACAGATAATGAATAAAATTTCAACATGAGTGGGACCTAGCCTTAGATAGCATTAATCCACTAAATCTAAAATTAGAAGCCCTAGAGATAGCATCATAGAAGGATTTCAAAGAACAGTTTCGGATGTAGAAGTCTTTAGGATCTTAAAAATTCATTTAAGGACGAATGCTCTTTATTCTCATATCAAGAATCTTCTGGAAATACTAAGCATAGTTTACCTTAGGCAATCTTTGGAATGCAAAATGGAAGCAACAATATCTCAAATACCAATATCAATCTCAGTGTGCTTGATAATAATCCTGATTTTAGCATTTCTACTCCAAGAACAAATGGTAATACCTAAAATAATCAAGAGGATTCTTCAATGACATAAGTATTCAATCCAATTAATCCAGCATAGACTCCCTTTTTCAATAAAAATATGCATCTCAAGAAGGATTCTCTTTTAAATAACTAAGAATTATATAGAGATCCAATATTGTCAAAACTTAATGACAATAATGATATCAAGCTAAGAGATGGCTCTCGTACATAGAGAATCTAGATAATTGAGTTCTAAGATGATAACCTCGAAAATGAAGACTACGTGGAAGGACTCTATGAACCTTAAATGATTATTAAAAAAGAGTAGCATGCATTTAACACTTCTAGAAACATGAAACGACCACAGATTGACACAAATAATGGGGTTGAAAGAACAATTTAAGGTACTATTTAAACTACGCCAAAAAGCAATAACATAAAAAGTGTTTATACATCTTAGAGAAGTAATGGGAAAAATAATAGCCAAGGTGGGCCAAATGCTGCTAATGCTAATGGAAGCATAGGAAATACTTTGTCTTCAAAAGCAAGGGCAAGAAATTAGTTTGACTACAGTAAAATTAGTAAACATTAATCGATAGCCAAAATATTCGAGAGTAGAAGAATCTCTAAAAAGTAATAATCCATTGAGAAAGGACCTGGAGGAGTAAATAAAACATATCTTGCTGGGATAAATAATAACACTCAAGTTAATTTAGTAAATTATGAATTTGATATGAGAAGATAAAGTACATAAAATATTATCAACAATATGAGTTCATGTGAAGAAAAAATAATTCAATCTAGAAACATAAACATTTAATCTAGCAATTAAAAATTTCAAAGGACTTAGCAACTTCCCCTTCAGCAAAACTACTTTTAATAAACTAGAGACAGTCAATCAAAAGAAAAACTGCAATCATCTAATAATTAGCAAAATGGATTAAAAAATTAAAGAGAAATCTAAACTGTGTAAAATTCCGCAACATAACTATCATCATCAAGATTACATCTCGAAACATCTTAAAATAAGTAGTTCAATGATACTATTTAGTTTAGTCATAACTTGATTGGTTCCCAGTCTTCAAGAAATATAAATTTGCCTAAATCGAATACACAAAAACTTGTTCTTACTTAAAACTAATAGATTTTGAATAAAGATCATAGTTTTGTAAGGCAGAGGAAATTAGAAATAGAACAAGAAAAATAGCAGAAACTTGCCCAAAAAATCTAATAAAAGGACCAAAAGATAATTTCATTGGTTTAAAAGAAGGCTGAGGAAGACAAGTCAAGAAGAGAACCTCACTCTATTTATGAAAAAACTATGCGAATGAAGCAAAGAGCAGACGAGAAAAAGCAAATTCAGTAATAAAGCAATATGAATCTAACCAATGATAATAACCCAAAGTTGCTTAGCAACAATAAATCTCAAAGAGACTTTAATTAAACTGAGGGTAGCAATAGTAAAACACCAAGAAAGTTAGTAAGAAACGATCATTAATACGGTGCTATGCCAAATAAAAGCTTTGTTTACTAAAGAGATGCAAAGACTGCTTCAAGGTCTGTTTCACCCAAAAAAATAATGTCTGTAAATCGTTAAGAAATCTTACAATAGTAAGTTCTTAAATAAACTCCTATGAATCAAAGTGTATTTTAGAACAGTAGCACAAGCACAGCGAATTTCCTCTAGCCCACTATAGTTCCACACTCAAGATAAAACTGTGAAAACTGTCAAAGGTTATTTAGTAAAGGACTCTCAAGCAATTACTGTCCCATGCACTTAAATCTGAACATCTAAAATAAGGGCACAACGAATGGAGCTCTAAATCCTTTGGCTAAGCATTCTTAGCAAGCATCAAATGTAAGTATCGGAGATTTGCTAAATGGCAGTTCAGAAAGTTGCTATCTAGGTATTACAGATCCTAATATATCAATTACAACTTTCGGGGGTAGAGTTATGTGAAATAATTTATGAAATCTAATTACTTATAAATAAAAAATTTCGGTGATCATGGGGTTTTGGGGTTTTGGGGTTTTGGGG